TGTTTGTCTGGAACAATCTCATTTTCGAATTTATATGGCCTACGACCACTGTCGAGGATTCTATTCAAGAAATCCTTATACTAGACTTCTCCAGAATAGATTGAGCATAGAAGACAAACTTAAGAATCATTGAAATTGTCGTTGTTGCCCTTTCGCAAGTCTGGAAAACATACTAGAGATCTGTCTTTGATAACATCTCCTCCAATGTCTACTACACCCTACAACAAATGCTTATTGCTTTACAGCTGCTTCAAAGCTATTTGTTGATGAAAAGCAAGTGCATACAAGACTGTAATCCTTCTTTTACTTTTCCCTACTCGTAGCAATGGCTTGCCTTTGATTTTATTGTATTTATTGTATCATTCATGGAAATAGATACAACATGATTAAATTATTTGGGAGTGTGGCAATTAGGCTTATGACCGTTATTTATTATTATATTCTCTCATATGTGTCTGACATTGTAAATCATTTTGTTATAAACATCTTGTGTTTTACCTTTTAATAAACAGTGGTCTTATCCTAATTGTACCTTTTCACTTGCTATTAATCGATATCGCAATCCTGATAAATCACTATTAGTTCAATGTAATTCTTTGTAAATTGTGCTCGCCTCTTAATTTTTTGACAACATTTTTTTTGTTAATTTTATCTTAATTTTATGTTTGTTTTTTAGATTTTTTTTCATTACATTTCTAAGAATTTCCTGGCGTTAATAGATTCTTTTTTGGTTGGTCTATAATCGCTTTAGATATCTCTCTTGTTAATATATAGTAATAGCAAAAAATGTGTGATAAAACTCTGAAGCAATTCTTTCTAAAAATTGTATTTGAAAATACTTATATGTCAATGGAATTACTCTATGGTTGAACTATGTCAAGCTTTTTATAAGAAAAAAGGAAAACAATATAAAAGTCACTTGTCTGTGTACCTTTCAGAGAAATCAGGGCAGCAAACACTATAAAAATTGATTGGCGAAGTCAGGCGGGTATGCATTTGTTTAAAAATAGTTGGACATAAGAACATTATTGGATGTAGCGTAATTATTAATTTCTGCTGAAGTTTTTCACAAAATTTCTAAGTCGTTATTCTTTATATATTTGTTAATTAAATCTTTTTGATTAATGCTACTTTTATCTTTTGAATTCCTTTCTTTTAGACTTTTCATATTTTTTTTCTTAAATCAGTATCAGTATCATCGTTTGACACAATATTATTGTCTTCTGAGTAACCATCAATTGACATATCTCTATCTGGATCTGTACTTAATAGACTGTTTTGTAAGACCATCACTCTGCTGAAATCATCTTTGTTTTGTATTTCATTACTAACTACATTATCTATTACCCTTTTTTTTTCTAAAGGAAATTTTAAGCCTTGTGACAACCATAATTTATGATGAGCCAAAACTGGTACGTTGAACATTTCGCTAAATTTATATATATTCTTAATAAACAAACTGCCTTAAAGTGTAGACTGTAGATCTAATGGCAGATCTACTATTATCTCTGATGTTGGCTGGTCTACTCAAGCTGTTTTTCCAGGTGTCTACAAAGTGATTAAGCAAGGCGTATTACTGGTTCAAGACTGTCTCTCTATTTGTGCTCTGCTTGATTGGTGCGCTCTATGATGACAAGTTTTGTACTACTTACGTTGGCTTCCTAGCTGTCCCCAAGATTCTCCATCATGATATCCTGTTGTTTCAAGACCATTCCTCTTAGATCTAGCCCTCTTAGATGTTTCAAGTATATCTATTCAAGTTTCGATAAGTCTTCACAGTGTATGTTTCCTTTTTTTTGAGTCTTATTGTCTCTGTTTGAGAGTCTGGTCAATTCTTGTCTAGACAAGAAAAAAAAATTGTTTGGTCTTGGTTACCTTGATCGAACTCACAATATGCTTTTTTTGTGTATATGTTTCTCCTTTTAGTCTCTGCTTCTTGTTTGATTGTATTTGCGTTGCATCTTTTCCAAAGAAGCTACGATAAGGCCTCTTTTGTCTATACTTTACAGGTATTATGTTATTGATTAGACAAGGGTTTGTGTGTTTTACAGGTGTCTACTGAGCTTAGTACTTGCTTTTCTTACTTCTCTGATCAATAAAAGTTATAACAGAGCATTTCCTATATGCAATAATAGACTAATTTATGTCATATTCAAGACATGTCTTTGACTAGATCTTAGGCTTGTGCGCTATTTATTTGTCTTCAGTGATTAACACAAATACTTCTGAATAAGGGCTAATGTAGAATACACTTATATGACGGCTTTATTCACTCAACTACATTGTCTTATTGCTGTTTTTTATCTTCAGTATGAATCAGTTAGAGTATAATTCACATGCCAAACAGCAGTGATGCTGTCTTTAATACGCTATGATACTACGCTTTGCTTTTATGTACCTGATGTCTAGCCTTTCTTCCAATCCGTTCAAGACACGATTGAAGCTCTCAAGTATTAATAAACAGAGAAAAAATAATCTTCAAAGCAGAGAGCACACCTAATATGCAAGAAATCAATATTTGAAACATTGAGCCTTTCTCTCGCATGACAGTTATCATTTGTCATATCCAAAGCTGCTCTTTTGATCTCAAAAGTTCCAAGTGTTGTAGTGCGGTTTTCTTATCTATATTCTGCAAATCAAATAGTGCTAGAATGACTATTTATTTACTACTTGGTATCTATTGAAAAAGGTCCCCTTTGTACTGATTACAGTTCACAATGAACTTTGAATCCAGACTTGAAGTTAATTCTCAAACCGATTCGACTTTTTCGTCTTAGCATACTCGTTTTATTTTGGTTAAGAGTACCTGGATATAATTTTATCTCACATTGGTTGGTTTGGACCTATATTGGGTCATTCTAAAAATTTTGGATCAACTTTTTTTTATTTTCAAGAGCTCTTGGGATCCCCTCATAAGTTAAAAAATGAATTTCACGCAATAGCCAAAATAATGGTACCATTCAGTTTTTGGCACAAAAAAGACATGCTTTAAATAAAAAAGAGCAATGTTAATAATCTAGTTGACGAGCAATGGTGCATTAAAGAATGACATGTTTAAGCCGTGTTTTGAGCATTTTTGCTCTGGATGTCATATAACTTATGCTAACAAAGGACTCATATATAAGTATTATATGCTATTTAGAGTGCCAAGAAAAAAAACATGGAAGCATAGAAATATAGGCATTTCGTAGCGTAAATGTGGGGGTAAATGGACAGGAGATGTATAAAATGTGTTGCGCTGCTCGACATCCGTTGTCAGACCGTAAGGGGATGACACTAAATTTATATAGTTATAACAAAGTCATAAACAAAAAAAAAAAAAAAAAAAAAAAAAAAAAAACTACAAACAAAACTCTAAATGTATGTACAAGGGAAGAGGTCACTCGTGATCAGCTGCCCTCTTATATATTTGTAACAAGCGTAAATCAAATAAAACAATCTTTCTTTTGGTCCCCGATTTTTATATTTTGTAATTAGACTCCAAAGGATATGGTAGTTAAACTATAGTCAAGGAGTACATACAACATAGAGATCTCGAAGTGCAGAAAGGTATCAAAGAGACCTCACAACAAATGGCTGGTGTCGAGGATTGAAATGAAATGAATCCTAATTCTCCTTCCAGCCGGATGAAAAATCGAGTTTTTGCTGAGAATTGCATAAAGACGCTGCTGTTTGACTTTGGCGCAGTGACAAAAGTTTCAGATGTGTGCTTTGTCAGTCCACTAGTATAGACAGCACAGTAACTTTGCTGCTAAAATGTTTAGCAAATAGGTAAAAATGGTTTTGAGGTTTCTCACTCATATCTCATTATTTCTATAATACAATCAGCAAGCAAACGCATTTACCAAACACCAGAGCTTTTGGCACATGTTTTGAGTATTTAAGCTTGTCGATAGCCCTATTTTTCTTCTTGTAGGGTTAAATAGAAGATGAAGAGTTGTCAGGTTGAATATATTTTCATGAATAGCACCCTTTGGTTTTGAGAGATTTTTGGCTGCTTTTTACAAATCGCTTTTTACAAATCGCTTTTTTTTTCTTTTTTTTTTCTTTTCTTTTTTTTTTTTTTTTTTTTTTTTGTCTGGACCAACTCCAAAGGTATCTCATATGTTAGCAGGTATGTTTTGTAGGTATTTGGGGCATTCATGCGCCTATCAACAAGCTTTATATGACCAAGAAAGAGCAAAAGATTTGCATGAATTGTTGCTATTTTTTTTTTTTTTTTTTTTTTTTTTTTTTTTGGTTGCTCCTAACGTATTTATCTGTCTGGCATCTCTTTCACATGAACAAATAATACACTACCAAGCTGTCTATTTACATAAGCATGTTCTGCTAAAAAGACACTGGGTCCATCGAATCAGGCGAGTCTGGTGAGCATGATGAACCAAATTTTAGTCGAGCTGACTTGATTTTTGTGGCAGTGGCTTGCTCAATGAATATTTGATTAAATTTATAGTATAGATGGGCACGAAAGCAAAAAAAAAAAAAAGTACAGAATAAAAACAAAATTAGTATCTACTTGCAGATTTCTTGATCCTCCTGCATCCTAATTAAAGAGATATAAATACTTTTTTCTATGATTGTCTTTATAATCATGCTGACTAAATTCCTTTTTGTGTATTTCGACTATTTATACATCAGATATATTGTCTACTTTTTGTATGCTCATATATATCTAAAAGTGGTGTTGCACCAAAAGCTTCATTCTTTGACAGCCTTACAATAAAAGACGTGTTCATTTATTGTTGCAATTAATAGCTTTTATATTACTCTAGCTTAGTTTGCTATTGTTTCAATTCTTACCGAGACAAAACAAGTCATTGTGGTTTCGACTAATTAAACTACGTTGCATTTATTGAGATGCCAAACATTTTCGCCAAAGTGCTCGTTCTCATAATCGTGGATTCCCATCATGCGCATGAAAAGCCATACTAGATTTGATTGGCTGCTATCAAAGCCACCTTGGCCCCTTTTTTTAAAAAATTATTCCCCCCGGGTTTGACAGTTGCTTTGTGTTTCCTTTCATGTCTTTTCTGGCTAAACAATACTCGAAAGCTATTTTACAACATACGCTCAGACGTCGTGCTTTAGCCACAGTTGCCAGTGCCGCCGTTGAGACAAAAAGAAAAAGAAGACTTGTGTTTGATAACCGATCGCCTTCTTTTCAAGACTTTTTGTCTCAACAAGAGCCCAAACCCGTCGATCCTTCTTTGACACAACCTGACCAAGTTCCTTATTTAAACACTACAGCAAATTTAGGTCAAGGCAGAAAGTTTTTTATCGAAGTTTATGGTTGTCAGGTAACGTCAAAATAAGAAAAAAATTAGACGTATTCATTCTATACGTATAGATGAATGTAAATGATACAGAAATCTTAAATTCTATCATGACAAAAACTGGATTTGTAAGAACAGATAATTTGGATGAAGCCAATGTTGTATTTCTTGTGACTGTAAGTACATTTGGTTCAATTGTTTTATTGAAACAATGCTTAGTGTGCCATTCGAGACAATGCCGAAGTCCGTATTTGGGACAGACTCAAATACCTAAGACATTACAAGACAAAGATCAATGTAGATAGTCCACCTATTGTGGGTGTATTGGGTGTAAGTGAAACTATGGCATAAAAAGTCTTTAACCTATTGTATAGTGTATGGCAGAGAGACTCAAGACAAAACTATTAGAAGAAGATCGCCTTGTGGATATTGTATGTGGTCCAGATGGCTATCGTTCTATTCCCCACTTGATTTCATTAACAGAACAAGAAGAATATACAGACGGTATTGCTAATGTCATGCTTTCTGCAGATGAGACATACGCTGATGTGATGCCAATGCGACTGGATACAACCAATGCTTCTGGTTGGGTATCTATTATGCGAGGATGTAATAATATGTGTAGTTTCTGTATTGTGCCATTCACAAGAGGAAATGAAAGAGTCGACCTATTGATTCTATTTTGGATGAAGTCCGATATTTGAATGATCAAGGTGTCAAAGAGGTCACTGTGCTTGGTCAAAATGTCAATTGTAAGTAGGAGTTATATGATCCTAGGCTCACTGTGTCTATAGCCTATCGAGATGAATCAGAATCAAAGTATTTTGTCACCAGCACAACCGCTGGTTCCAGTCTTAGTAACGCTGGCTTCAAGACAATTATAAGCGTAAGATGGTGGTAGAAGATTCACTGAATTGCTGGACAAAGTCAGTCTAATTAACCCAGAATGCGTATTCGATTCACTTCTCCTCATCCCAAGGATTTTCCTACAGATTATCCATTGATGCTTCTCGACCCAATATCTGTAATTCAGTCCATCTTCCTATTCAATCAGGCAGCAACACTGTATTAGAACGTATGCGTCGTGGATACACACGGAAGCCTATCTGGACTTGTACAAGAGATGCGCACCATTATACCTGATGTTTGGATCAGTAGTGACTTTATTACTGGCTTTGTGGAGAAACAGAAGAGGAACATCGCGATAACAGTTCGTTTGATGGAACAAGTTGAATAGATACAGCATTTATGTTTGCTTATAGTATGCGTGAAAAAACACTGCTCATCGACGATACAAGGACGATGTAGAGAATCTGTCAAAGCTCGTCGTTTACAAGAAATAGTCAATACCTTTCACAAACATGCGTCCCTCAAGAACCAGCGCTTAATCGGTAATCGGCAATTAGTCTTGATTGATTCTGAAAGACCAAAAGTCAAATATGGAGTCGAGACAAAATTAAGTGGTAGAACAGATGGTGGACTAAGGTGTTTATTCAACATGAACAAGAAGGTCTTAAAAAGGGCGACTATGTAGAAGTAGAAATCAAACATGCTACCAGTGCTAGTTTGACAGGTCGATCCATTGGACTTAGCAGTATACAACAATTTAACATGCAAAAGCGAGGCTATTCTACTCAACATAGACCCAATGTACGAAGCATGTACCGTCGTTTTTTAAGGGCTGGTCAGGCTGCTACAGAAGGTCCTAATAAGAAGCATGCTCAATCCTTAATACGTGAAGGATTGAAACAAGGATTTTACATGATCCTGAAATAGACGTAAAAGGTAATTTAGGCTGTCATTTAGAATAAGGAAAACACTGAATAGAATCATAGTCAAAAATACGCTTGAGTTATACACATGCGAGTCAACGTAAGGGCATTGAGTTTGATATTGTTCGAAATCTATGCCAGTTAAGTATTATAGAGATAAAGATACTTAAGGTACATAGATATAGATAATTTCTTTGCTAATCATTGGATTCAATAGACCACCTCTTTATAACAGAAGAATGTCTCCTAGTGTAAAACAACTGCATGATAATGCTAGACAGGATTGGAGTTGACAATTCAAATGTTAAATACAGATTTACAGCTATGCTTGATCTAACAAAAACGTCACATAAAAGAAGGGAATAAATTATTTGTTTTTTGGTTCTTTTTATTCTACGCGTATACAAACAAATGGTACCTAATCTTCTTAAAGTATATACTAACAGTTGATTAGTCTGCCATCTTCAACTTTCAATCGTTACTTCTTGTTATTTTACTCTTGATTGCACTTGTACATATGTAAAAGCTCAAGCACCTTCTTTGTTGAACAAGAACAAGACTGGGTAAGTTGAAACACATTTCAACTTTTGCTGAATTTTTTTTTTTCTTTTGTGTGCTTGGTTATTTTGGAAGGCAGCTCGAGTAGGCGAACGACTGAGTCCTTATGTATCGCTTGCCTGTATCTTTATGGGAATTTCATTGATGAGTTCATAAATGTATTTCTACTTTTACTTTATTCAACAGGATAATTTCATTCACTATTTCTCCAATTCTTATCTGATCGTATCTTCACAAGTAGCCTTCTTTTCATTTCATCACAAAGTGAATCCATGTCAAATTCACCAAAGCGAGGATGTTCAGAGATTTTGTCCCAAGTTTGAGCTATGTTCTTCTTTTCTGGTGTGGGTTCCAATGCATCTTGAGTATGAAGTGGATAGAAGAAATCAAACTGAGAAGGATCTGTGGTAAAAGGAAATCTGTGTTGATTGAGAATGTCGTCCAATTGAGTACTATAATCACTACTCTTGAGTTGATCACCAGATAAGCCCAAGAGTTCAGAGTGATCAATCAAGGCATTGGAAGGCAGACTAGATTGATCTACACGAGAATATCATCAATGGTAAGTTGCCTAGAAGGAGGTGGTGTATTTGATCTAGAACTAGTAGAATAATTGCTACTTAGACTATCGAAATGAGACACAGGTGATGCATCCGAATTATTATTGGATGAAAAAGAAGATCGAACAATTTTCTGCGGCCTTGCGCCATCTTGTGTCTGGCTTGATAGTGGAAGGTCAAAAGAGGCTGTGTGGCCCAAAAGTCGAGCATTCTCATCTTTTAGACGCTTCACAATATTCTTCAGTTGCTCGTTTTCTACAACTAAAGATGTATTGTTTTGTAAATCAAGCTGTTTTTCAAGATCCTTGACTCTTTCTTCCAACACTCGAACATGATTTTCTTTTCTTTCTCTGAAAGCTCTTTGTGCAGCTCGGTTTTGTGCTTTTCTTTTAGATTTAGGGTTATCAGACTATAGAGAGAATAAACACATGTTATTTGTAGAGATCAAATGCTTACATCTTCTTCTTCACTTGTCACTAGTTTTCTACCTACTCGCTTTGGTTTAGAACTATTGGATACTGATAAAAAGAAAATTAGTCCTTCATTAACTGACAAACAAAAACTTACAGCTTGTAGGGCTAGAAGAAGGAGAAGGAGATATATTTACAAGTGTATCAAACTTTCTTTTTCAGTATTTTCTGATGTAGGAGAAGTAACTGGCGTAGGGAGATTATTATTGTTGGTTTGCTGATTATTGGTCTTATCATTATTGTTAGTAGTATTGGAGCTAGATAAAAGGGCTAAAAGAAGCATTGTTTGAGCTTCTGGATTATCTTTTAAAAAGGAGACATCAGGATTCTTTCCTTGACTTGCAATCTTTTCAACAATGTCTGCTAAATTGGTATTCATGTTTTGTGTTTAGATAAGGAAAAAAAAAGGGAAGAGAAACACTTGCTTGTTGATTGGGAATCCTTTCAATGGCCGCCCTTTTATGACAAATACAAAGCGAGTCACTTGTTCCTTCTTCTCACGTAAAGTAATCGTGTATTTTTATTGGATCAAGCTACTTGATGTGTAAACATTCCCTTTCTTTGATTCGATGGATCCAGTGTCTTTTAGCAGAACATGCTTATGTAAATAGACAGCTTGGTAGTGTATTATTTGTTCATGTGAAAGAGATGCCAGACAGATAAATACGTTAGGAGCAACCAAAAAAAAAAAAAAAAAAAAAAAAAAAAAAAAATAGCAACAATTCATGCAAATCTTTTTGCTCTTTCTTGGTCATATAAAGCTTGTTGATAGGCGCATGAATGCCCCAAATACCTACAAAACATACCTGCTAACATATGAGATACCTTTGGAGTTGGTCCAGACAAAAAAAAAAAAAAAAAAAAAAAAGAAGAAAAAAAAAAGAAAAAAAAAGCGATTTGTAAAAAGCGATTTGTAAAAAGCAGCCAA